TTTTTTTTGAGAAACACACTACAGACTCAGCCACTCACATACACACATGTATACTAACCCCTACAAACACACACACGCAAACCTTGTCCCTACGAGCACCTTCGATAGACCGAGCTGACAGATCTTGACTTGATTGATCGTCATATCTCGAGTTAATCTAATGAGCCATTATAATGCATATAGAACCCTGCATCTGCATTAGATAAACTATAGACCAATAACCCTTGCATATGCCTGCTAAGTATGACACAATTATGTACTAGATCGGTATTGTGCCTTGACGCGAGGGTGCCGGTCCCGACGTTTTGATGAAGCAAGTAGTACTAAGTCAGTAGGAATCCCCATATATATAGCGTATGAATCCAAACATGATAACAAAATAAAGTGAAGAAGAAACATTCATTTGTGATAGAAGGCATAAGATTGCCCGTCATTTACCCAAAAAATAGCCCGTCATTTACCCTAAATTTCCATTACTGAAAATGTGCAATTCTAACAAAATTCAGCTGCAACTTCCAGTCCATAGGTTGGTCCATATGAAGTGAAATTGAGATAACCATTGTTGGAAGTTGGTCCAAAGGCTATGGAAAAAAAAAGAGGCTAAGAAAGTAACTCAGAAGTACTAGAAAAGAAAACAGACAACTTCAAAATAGACAAACTTTAAAATAGGCATGCTGTGTCTTTTGGAATAGAGTTGGCCTTTTATTTGCTGGTACATGTCACTCAAGTTCTGCCTATAAAATTGGAATGCCAGGCTCGTCCGCTCCTGTATATTCATTCGCTAAAAAAGACTAATGCTCTTAAAATACGAGTTACAGTTGATCGAAGGGATTACACTTGCAGAAAGTAATTGACTCCTGTAGAATGATGAACACTTCATTAATAGTCAGAAGACTTGATGTGCAATAGCTCGTGGAGAAGAAACGAGCAACAAATGCCTCGGACCAGCCGTCACCCACCACATATTCGCATGCTGCATTGTATAGAACCAGTACCCTTTCTATCAGCAGGACGGTGGGCAGTATACCCCTGGGCAACCTATCGGGTCTTCAGTTATGATTTAGAAAATATCAGGTTATGAACAAATAAAAATGTAAGTACGAGAGAAGTGCAGAATGCATATACAGAAGTAATAATGTCTAATAATTGTACAGTTACTAGACGGAGAACCACCACACTGCGAGCTAGCTTAAAAAGCTGTACTACAAGGTTAAGGGACCTCATACAACACGAATACTTACTACCAGGATGGCAGTGGCGAGCTGATGCTGCGTGCACGGAGTAGACAAATAAGAGCACCAGGAGGCTGGTAAGCAACCCAATCAAATGGCAAGCGCTAGGTAGCATTCTCTCCGTACCGGGGTGAGCTAGTTCCACGCCTGTGCAAGAGGGCAAAAACTACTCGTAGCTAGTTAGCCCTGGAAATCACAACGCTGCGGGCACCTATTTATTAAAGCTCAAGTGTGAACTGAACCGAACCTCTTTATTGGGAAACTTGCGCCAAGAGAAGAATGACACATCCGCAAGTGTGAACTGAGGTAGTGCCAAACTTTTTGACTGGAAATTTGTGGAACTGGGAAACCTGCAAAGGACGGCCATGAGCATAGGAGTAAAAGTCTCCGCATGACTTTGACTCAGTGTTGATATTGTGTACATCAAGCATCGAACCAATCAGCCTTCTATAAATGAAAGTGGAGAGGCCATATCTGATATCTCAAACCCATCAGCCTTCTACAAATACAGTAGAGAAACCATATATCTCAATGCAAGAGTAAAGCTGTAGAACACAAGCCATCATGTCTCCTGCGCCTCTGATTATCATTGTCCTATCCTCTCTTCTGACATGCTCGTTACTAGGTGCTAGTGCTACAGCTCTCCACGATCATGGTGATGCTAGCACCGACTTCCAAGCCCTCCGTTGCCTTAAACTTCATCTCAGCACTTCTGGATTCCTACCCTCATGGAAGATTGATGGTTCCCTCCAAAATTTCTGCACTTGGTCCGGTGTTACCTGCAGCAAGAGGCACACGTCTCGTGTGGTTGCACTGGACCTCGAGTCACTCTACCTTGATGGCCAAATGCCTCCTTGCATTGCAAATCTCACTCTCCTCACAAGAATCCACCTCCCAAATAATCAGCTTTGGGGTCCAATCCCGACTGAACTTGGCCAACTGAATACGTTGCGGTATCTTAACCTCAGCTCAAACAATCTTAGCGGCATGATCCCGAGCACTCCGTCCTCATGCTCTCAGCTTAGAGTCATTGATCTTGCGAGCAACTCCTTCAGCGGTGAGATCCCACCAAACCTAAGCCAATGTTCAAATATTCAGCAGCTCAAGCTGGATCACAACAGGCTGAGTGGAGGCATCCCCGAAGGGTTGGGGATACTCCGCAACCTTTCAGTTTTGCATCATGCTGGAAATACTCTGACAGGTAATATACCTCTTTCACTTGGAACCAGTTCTGCTCTTCACTCTGTTAATCTCACTGACAATAGCCTCACAGGACCTATCCCGTCTCTACTAGCTAATAGTTCATCACTTCAATTTTTGGTCTTAACCAAAAATCAGCTAGGTGGAGAGATTCCATCTGCACTATTCAACAGCACATCACTCAAAATCTTGTCCCTGGGAGTAAACAACTTTATTGGGTCCATACCTGCTGTTTTCCTGAATTTTGATGACTCGCCCTTGCAACATATTGTCTTGGCATCAAATAATCTTGCAGGGGCAATACCTTCTACTCTAGGGAACTTTTCTTCCCTTCGCTGGCTCTTACTTTCACAGAATAATTTTCAAGGTAGCATCCCAGCGAGTATAGGTAAGCTTCGCAACCTGCAACTACTAGACCTGAGTTACAACTTCTAGTCAGGGAGTGTTCCCGCCTCTATTTACAACATATCAACACTCACATACCTTAGCGTGGGTGTGAATTCTCTGGCAGGGGAAATTCCATATAACATTGGATATACCCTTCCAAGCATCAAAACTTTGATTATGGGAGTAAACAAATTTCATGGCCAAATCCCCACTTCACTAGCCAACACAACGAATCTTCATACGATTTATCTCGCTGAAAGTGCATTCCATGGTATTGTGCCTTCTTTTGGGACTCTTCCCAACTTAATCAGCCTAGATCTAGGCGAGAATAGTCTCGAAGCAGGAGATTGGTCCTTCTTAACCTCCCTGACCAATTGCACTCAACTGGTGGAATTATTATTGGATGCAAACATCCTTCAAGGAGATTTACCCAATTCTATTGGAGACCTTTCAAAGAGTTTAGAGGTATTGTTATTAAGAACAAATAAACTATCTGGCACTATACCAAAAGAAATAGAGCACCTCACAAACATCAAACGTCTTTACATGGAAAATAATTTGCTTACCGGAAGTATCCCCAAATCACTTGGAAATCTTGAGGACTTGATTGAACTAAGCTTATCCCAGAATAAACTTTCTGGACAAATTCCGCTATCAATTGGCAGTCTAAGTCAACTGAGTGAGCTATATTTACAGGAAAATAATTTGAGTGGCCCAATCCCAAGAATTCTAGGGGATTGCAAAAACTTGGAAATATTGAACCTCTCTTGTAACCGCTTTGATGATAGCATACCAAAGGAGCTATTTACACTTTCCTCCCTTTCAAAAGGTTTGGACTTATCTCATAACAAACTCTCGGGACAAATACCACATGAGATTGGCAGCTTGCTCAACCTTGGCCCATTGAATATTTCCAATAACCAGTTGTCTGGAGAAATACCCTCCACTCTAGGTGAGTGCGTCCATTTGGAGTCGTTGCACATGGAGGGGAACAATTTTCATGGGAGAATCCCTCAAAATTTCTTGAATTTGAGAGGCATCATTGTGATGGATCTATCGCGAAACAATTTGTCCGGTGAAATCCCTAACTTCTTTGAGTCCTTTAGTTCCATGAAGCTTCTAAATTTGTCGTTCAACAACCTCGAGGGACCAGTACCACCAGGTGGGATGTTCCAGAATGGAAGTGAGGTGTTCATACAAGGTAACAAGAAGTTATGTGCAAACACCCCATTGCTAGAGTTGCCACTTTGCAATGGAGTGAAATACAAACAAAAGATGCACATCTCCAAGATCCTTAAGATTGTAGCAATTACTGCTCTTTCTTTGGTTCTGTCATCATGCTTTGGAGTCATTATTTTCAAAAGGAGAAAGAAAATCGAACAAGCAGCACATCCATCTATCAAGGAGTTAAAGAAGTTGACATATGCTGATTTAGTGAAAGCAACAAATGGTTTTTCTTTAACCAACTTGGTTGGTTCAGGAAAATATGGGTCTGTATACAAAGGCAGAATTGATTCTGAAGAACATCATATAGTTGCCATCAAAGTTTTCAAACTTGATCAACTTGGAGCAACAAAGAGTTTCCTTGCTGAATGTGAGGCACTGAGAAACACTCGTCATCGTAATCTTGTAAGGGTGATCACCGTATGCTCAACAAGTGACCCAAGAGGAAGTGAGTTCAAGGCTCTTATTCTTGAGTTTATGGTAAATGGCGACTTGGAGAGTTGGCTCTATCCGACACAACTCCACGAGCATCATCCAGAAAGGCCGTTGTGTTTGGGTTCAAGAATTGCAATAGCAGCAGATATAGCTGCTGCTTTGGATTATCTCCATAACCAATGCATGCCTCCTATGGTCCACTGTGATCTGAAGTCTAGCAATGTCCTTCTGGATGATGTCATGGGCGCATGTGTTGGTGACTTCGGGTTGGCTAAGTTCCTACATGGTTATTATTCTTCTTCTGGAATTGATGGTTCTACTTCTACAAGCTTAATGGGGCCAAGAGGATCAGTTGGATACATTGCACCAGGTAAATTCTTATATGCTCTACTGGATATGCAAGTACTATATATATATTCCTTTTTTCCCTAGAAAAACCTTCTGGTTCTTCTGCTCCAAGCCTTTTGTGCTAATTAATTGTTTGAATAACTATATGTATTGCAGAATATGGATTTGGGAGCAAAATCTCGACGGAGGGTGATGTTTACAGCTATGGAGTCATCATCTTAGAGATGCTCACAGGGAAGCGTCCAACTAACGAGATGTTTAAAGATGGAATGAGCCTCTACAAATTTGTGGAAGATTCATTTCCGGAAAAGATTTGTGAGATTCTAGATCCTGGAATCATCATCCCCTATTATGGGAACCGAGATGAAGAAGAAGCGGGCAGTTCTTCATACCAGGAAAACCATAGAATGGCTGCAGGAATAATTGGCTGCATCACGGCTCTTGCTAAACTTGGCCTGCTGTGCGCTGCAGACACGCCTAAAGATCGCCCAGCAATGCAGGACGTCTACGCTGATGCCATCACAATCAAAGAAGCATTTTCAGCATTGCAGGGCTGAGCAGAAGAAGCATTTTCAACCATATCTATCGATTGCCCACCTACGACTAGTTTTATTTACATAAGGCTGTATTTTTCTTCATCGGAAGCTTGCTATGTGCGTTGTGAACTATCTTCTATTTCAGTATGAAATCTATGTGTGTACTGAAGGCAAAGTATAGTTCAGCCTATATACAATAAAGTTCAGCATGGGAACTACATCATTTTCGACTTGGCTGTTTTTTCTGCCTACACCTAATAAATTGGTCTTACATTAAGGTTTAAGCCTAGCTACATACGTATGAAGTAACCACACCACTGTAAAGATGTTAAACTTGCACAGCAAACTGTTAAACTTGAAAGTTGAATGAAACACACGCGCAAGGATATCACATTTCCCTCACAAAAATAAGAGGATTTTTGGAGAAGAGCATACCGGTGATGGAGAATTGTAACAGCGCTTCGACAAGGAAGCAGCGATCCCAGAATGCAGCTCCGTGCGCAGAGCACGACAGGCGTGGATATGATGAGAGGAAGCCAAAGCACACCGACGAATAAGAGGATCACACCTTGATTGAAGGAGGATGGAAAGGGAGGCCGAGGAAGCTATGGATGCCCGACCAACAACAGTGGCACATCACCTAGTGCAGCAGTATGGAGGGCCGAGTCAGAGCTGCATGCCTGCGCCCCGGGATGGCACGACATCCGTGGAGGTGCTCCAACTTGTCCAGAGCTTAAGGAACGCTGAGCAGGGCGTCAGGTCGGCGGAGGCATCAGGTCGGAGGCGTTCCATCGGGAGAGAGTAAGAGTAGTTTTTTTTTCTTCTGGAGAGGCAGGTGTGACTGCACTGATGCGGTTATGCGGCGCTTCCGCTTGAACCCGCTGTTGAATATGCGGTCAGCCCAGCGGCAGCTATGCAGGACGGGCAAGGGCTGGAATTCGAGCCGAGTCGAGCCAGCTGGCGCAGCAGCGAGGCGGGATATCCCGTCCACCTTGCAACCTGACCAGGATGGGAAGACAACCAGCTTATGTAGGGCCCAAGGAGGGCGAAGCAGGCAGCAGTAGAGCAGCAGGCCAAATGTCGAACAGGTGGCGGGCGCCGAGGCAGAGGCTGGCGCTGCAGAAAGAGGGGTTGGCGGGGAAGGCATCCAATCCATGGAGGCGCTCCAACTTGTGCAGAGCCCAAGAACGGCTAAGCGGGCGCACCAGAGCAATCCCGCCGACGGTGTCGGTGAGAGAAGGCAGAAGGCCAAATGTCGAACGGGTGGCGGGCACCACACTGGCCGAAGCAGAGGACGGCGCTGGCAGGGCAGATGGGGATTGGGAGCTCGGTACGGCGGCCGGGAACAATGAGGAGGATTAGGAGCCGTGGAGGAGCGAGGGGTGGGCGCTGCGGCCGGCGACGGCGAGCTAAGAGGAAGGCGCCGGCAGTCTGCTTACCCTACTCAGCCTATCTTTCAGCATCGACTGTAAAATTTCAGCCTGCTGTAGCTATCGATTTTTCAGCCTATTTTTCTACAGTATTTTTGTTGAAAATTTCATCATTTTTGGAGTGGATTCTCTATCTTTCATGTGGTGATAGATATATCCTGTTCTCCTCACTTTGATTCTGAATTCACCGCTTGATTTAGCACGGGTTCTATGCTTTCTAGCCCCATTTGACAAAAGTGAGCCTTCCCTACCTCTTTTGTAGGAATCAGATAGCAATGCTCATTCGTGAACAGCATTTCATGCTTCCGCTACTTCGTCGGAGAGATCCATGAAAACTCGAAAAAGAAAAGCGGAGGGCATTCTTCATACGATAGCCGGAAAAGTTAGTTCTCTGGTAGTACTATGACTTAGGACCGTCTTCAGTTAACTACAAAAATATTCCCAACTAGTTGATTTGCTCTAAAACCATTAGATCCCATGCGACCACCCAATCCGGTATGGCCGGCCAGTCCGATCCCCCACGGCCTCACCCCCCAATGGCCACTGCTTGAACCGACGCATCCGTCATGTTACCATCGCCCTCATCCATCTCTCTATATAGAACCCACCGACTCGCCTCCGCCAGCGACACCATGATGGACCCCGGCGTCCCGTCTCTCTCAACCTCAGGCGCGATCCAAGAAACTACTTCGGTTGCCTCAACAATAGCAAATGCGATGGTTTAAAGTTTACTATTTTAATTTTTCACGAAACCTGTGATCATGGCTACACTATCATTATCAGGCACACAACCTACCTAGTGTCTGTATTTGCCTGATCAGCTGCCATCTCCAACGAACAAACACAAGGGTCCACGGATTAATATATCGTTGCATTCACGCCTTCCTTTCAAGTTGCAACCATTTGAACATATAAAATTTAGGACTCCTTTAACTGACAAACATTCGCTAGGAGGGGTGGCATTTGCAGACGTTTTGGTGGCATTTTTAGTTGTATGTGGGGTGCAGTTTCTTCGGAACAACATGACATTTTCTAAGATGAAGGCTCAAAACTGTCATCTTTTAACGTTCGAAATGCCACCCTCTTCCAGCGAGATGCTACCTCTCCCAGCAAAAAAAAGGGTTGTGCTGGTAGACTTTTTTTTAGGGCTGTGCTGGTAGACTGAATCCACTTACAAAGCAACCCTAAATATATATGGTGAGATTAGGAGATTATATGTTTTGAAGGTTTCCTTATCCCCAGGCTTGCTTGACATCACACGCTTCATGATAAAACTCAGCCAAACTTAACTAAGTTTACACATGTTTCTCAATAAATTTGGTCAAACTTAAATAAGTTTGATTTAAGATGAGATAAATGAGCCCCGTAAACCGGACAGAGAGCAGTGATTAGACAGGATCATATATAACATACGCCAGGACTGATGCATCTAAAACCAACTTTACCATTACTTTCACTTCCATAACCACAAGGCAAAGCTCAAAAACATCATCCCTGCGCTGTCTTATATACCTGTAATGTACATCCATAAGCGCGGAAAATAAATCCACACAATCACTAGAAACACAACAAAAAAAATCCAGAACAAAACAGGAACAAAATCTATGCAGTTCTCTCTCCCTCATTGACTCACTCCTCAGGCAACCAATTGCCTATGTAACAGTTACACGCCGCCCTGGATGTATTCACAAGCCACACTGCCTCTTTTGCGCGCAACAAAGAAGAAGAGTTCAGAGCGAGCTTTGACTAGCCATGATCAGCATCCCGGCAGCGACTGCCCTGACGACGCCATGGCAGACAGGCTCGCGTCCGAGTCGCCGCAGTGCCTCAAGTAGGACTGACGGAAGGACTGGGCCGACGACGCGCCCGCCAGGTTCAGGCTCGCATCTGAGTCGCCGCCGTGCCGCAGCAGCTGGGACTGCTGCTGCTGTGGTGACTGAGGGGCCATGGTGGACAGGCTCGGCCCCGACTCCCCACAATGCCTCAGGTACGCCGAAGACCGATGCTGGCTGGACGAGCCCAGGTAGTAGCCCGACGACGATCCATACCCCGAATTGGAGATGTATGAAGAACCGGCATGCACGCTGGGCGACCCATAACCGGAATTGTACATCTGTGGGGGGGCATAAGCATAACTTATGTTGACTGGTGGAGACAGGTGGTTGCCGACCAGGGAGTGTGTGGAGCCTCCACGGAGGAGTGAGGTGCGGAGGTAGGGCGAAGACATGTTTGCAAGGTCTGCGCTACTTCTGCTCATGCTCATGGCTGATGAGTTCCTGTATGGTCTTTGGGTGTTCAGAGAGTGCGGGGTGCCAGAAGCAGAGTAGACCCGAGATATGGACTGCGACGAAGGACGCAGGTTTATTGGTCTGGGAGGGGATGCTCCCACGCTCGACCGGAATGAGGATGACGGAGAAGGCAAGTGTACTGCGGAAGCGAACAATGGGGTGGTCTCCGAGGCAGGAGGGCCTGTCATTCCAGCGCCTGCATCTCGCTTGCATACGGGGCAGAATGATCTCCAGGATGTGAGCCACATGTCCACACAAGCTGCATGGAACTCTGCAAGGCAATTCAAACAATTATCAGAGTGCTGCCTTAGAAAGAAAATACTGATACAGATAAGCTGATTGTATGAAAGGAGAGTCATCCAATTGGTTCAATTTGTAGTACTTTCTTTATTGCAATACTAGTTGACTCGTAAATCTACAATGTTAATGATTTTCACATAAATGAATTACACACACACTGTTACAATGAAATTTCAATTGCAGCACCAGTATTTTATATTCTTATGTTCTTAAGGATTTTTCAAGTTCCAACTAGATGAAAATAAATTGAGAGAGTACTTAAGTAAACTTTACAACACACCAACAGTCATCATGACAACAGACTCAAAAACTAGCACAGAACATTATTTTTAATACCAAATTCGAGGGTTGGAGAAGTACAGCAAATAGAGGTGACTAGTTTTACCTAAAATACTATGGGCATGGCAAAGGATCAAATATGCAAGGTACTAGTTTTTAGAAGACAGAGTTTGCGAGACATACTGTGACGGCAGGGCAGCACTCTTATCTGTTCTCCGACGGTGTAATCTTCCAAGCAAATGGCACACATCGACGACGTGCAGTTGTCCTCTTGCACTTTGGTGAAAATAAGGCTTGGCATCGCCTTAACTAATTGACTGCTCATCCCATGGAATTCTCGGGAATCTAGATTTCTAGGTCGGTCCCGCCTTATTCGATGTCTTCTCACAAAGAAACAGGTAGCTAAAACAGCAGACATGGCGAGCAGTGATATGAATGAAATCGCCATGATCGACCAGGCTGAGTTCTCGAATGACGGTATTATCCACACCTCCACATCAGTACGGCCTGAAAATTTCTTCAGCACCTCCCCTGAGACCTTTGAGATGAACACAGCGTATATCTGAATACCGCTTGAGCTTCCAGCCACTGTTACACCTAATTCTCAGTTAGGAAGTGCAGAGAATATATGATCCGAACAATACTAAAACGAAACTAGTGAAAACTAAACTATAGATGTAGGAACAGTAACCAAAAACATATCAACATCTACAGTTATTTCTAGCTTCTAATAATCTGCACAAGTATTTCAGCTTCATCATTATGGAGAACAGATCTGAAAGCATTTTCTGTGCATCTCAGTCTGTTCCATCTCTACTCAATATGTGGCCATCTACAGGACATGAAAGGTAAAAAAGAAGAACGGTTGAGAGGGACAAGGTACATTACTTGAAACCAGAACTCCACTGTTTTCGTTGTCATACACTATTGCAGCTTTGAATCCAGCATCCTGCACGTTTTTCACTTTCTCATCAAATGTGCAGCCACCTCTTATAACCAGGGCAAACGGAGACGGTGGACCCTCGACTGCCTTGCTTGTCAATGCACTGCAGGCATTCAAAGGTTCGGCAGTATAAACTAAGCCATTAACACCCGACCCTTTTACTGCCGGAGCTGCAAACAAATTGAAATGGCATAATTAGTCCTTCAGATAACATAATGCAGAGTTGCAGACTCCACAGAGAAGTGCAAAGTAGAAGGGAAAAGGTTATAATGCAAATGCACCATGAGTACATGGCACAATCAATGGAATAACAATCAAGCTTAATGTCGTTAGGAGAGTTGGCAGGACACAGACGGAATAACATAATAGGATTATTACAACATATTTTGCATGCCACCATAAATCAACATCGCAGCCAAGAAGTATGCAGCCAGACATTAGCACCTAAATATGCCATAACCAGTAGGTGGAGAACAGGAGAAAGCATGCAATAAAAAATGTAGTGACAGTCAAATAGTAGAAGTTGGTAGATGATGGTAAGATGTTCAGAACTTACAAAAGTTTGCCTCAACATCGTCGAACGACAAAGTAAGATTATTCCCCATCAGAACTACATTGGCAGCTCCTATCTGAGCCATGAGGCAAACCACTGCACAGAGACAGAGAGGAGATGACATTGCTCCTCGAGTACTCTTCATCCTATCAGCTCTTGGCGAAAACCCAACTTGTTTCTTTTTACAGGTTACAGCTATGCAATGAAAAAGCCACCTAACACTTCAATGCTTCAAAACCACGTCTCCGCGAGCACTCGACGACCACTATGTGCTCTGAATCTGCAGCTCGAAAGCATCCAATCAGCTACGATTCCTGCAACGGAAAACAACAATGTTGAGATTCATTTGGCATTTTATCACTCGTATTAAGCCAAAAGGAGCAGGACTTTTACACAGAACACAGAGAATTCCAGGCTTCGCATCCACAGGTTCCAAATAATTACATGCTTTAAATGGTAACAGATCACAAATACGACAAGAAACAGAGTCTGTAGTCCTAACTAAATCACAAGTAAATCCACCAAAATTATTCTACTCCAACCTTGTTCCCATCACATAGTGGAGACCTTTAGTTAAGGAATCAGGTATTTTCCGTTTCCATAAACACGGTTATGATGGTAACTGGACAACAATAAATTTCCAAAACAAGACCCTCTCCAAAGTTTTACACACACAAGTCAAGAATAAGTTAGCGGTGCCTAGAACTCCAAATCTTCAGCAATCTCCTAAACTTATCATGTGATGAGTGAGATTAGTACTAGCAACCAGGCTTATCACATTCCGCTAGAATGACCGATACTTTTCATCACCACCAAGCAAACAGGAATAAAAGTTCCGCTGACCGACCGACCGTTTCGCGCATAATTCCACATGTTTCATTCAATTGGAATATACCATCCTGTCTGGTTCATTCCAAGCTTCCGGCACTCCGAAACGTCGCATCCCGACAAGCAGAACCGAATCACCAGCACAGCGAATTTAGGAAGTATGATGCCGGCATATACATCCAGCAGGTTTCTTAGAGATGGATAGGCAAATCAAATCGGGACACAGCACTAAAAGATCCGTCAGTAGCTGGATATGCTCTCAAGTCGGCATCTAAATCGCCACCACCACTCCAATTCAGCTCAACGCCACTGGAAACCCGACGACGGACAGGGTAAGCGAATCTGCCTTCCGCAGCGGTCGCCGCCGTGCGTCAAATAAATAGTCAGCGCACGCAACTCGAATCGCCGCCGCAAGATTAAATCTTTATAATCTAAAAGGGGAGGAAATTGACGAGGCGAGGGCCGAATCTTTGACAGGGCTTGACCAGAAAAGGAAAAAGGGGAACGAGCACCGGAGGGGAGATGTGAGAGGGGAATCGGCGCGGACGGGATGGATGGGAATCGGGATGGGATACCTGAGGGCGGAGCACGGGGGTGGCAATGGCGACGTCGGCTTCCATCATGTGTGAAGTGCGGGGTGGCGGAGGAGGGCCGGGATCGGCGGCGG